TAGTTCAAGATATCGCTAACACTGGGGAGAAGGTGTCAGATGAATATAAAGTTGTTATCCTGTTGAATGCTATACCTGATGTGTATAAGGATGTTAAGTCTTCTATTAAGTATGGTAGAGATACCTTGACTCTCGACATAGTGATCATCGCTTCGGGGCGGGCACCCCCTCCTCGCCCTGTCCCACCAACCCATCGGAGCGGGCTTTTTTCACCCCATTCGGGGCTGGGCAGCGCCAGAGCGGATTTTTTTGCCATCACTAGACGATATGAGTAATACTCATCGCTATGCTATGATGTACGATGGATTTCGGCCATCCGAGTTTCGTTTAGAACTAGGAAATTAATTTTTAAAGTTTTAGTGCTACTTTTGTGATTTAGTTTATTTTGAATTCTTTTTTATTTTTAGTTTGTTTTAGTTAGGTTTTCATTAAGTTTAGTCCTATTAAACTAGATTTTCGTGTAAACCCTTATAAATAAAAGGTTATCTCATTGTTTTTTATTACCTCTGTGAGTTTAATTTTTCTTAATTTGATGGATTCTAAAATTCGCGTTCTTAAGGTTTTCGTTTGAATTCTTTATTTCGCATTGCGTTGCTCAATGGCTTCTCGAGTCTCCTAGCTCTCGAGTAGTAAGAGAGTGGGAAAATTAGAAAATGAGAAAAAGTAGGAAATGAAGCGAGGTGAAGTTGCACTAAAGGTGCCAGCAGAGGTGACGCAATAGGGTGTAGAGAATATGAGAAGAATAATATTATGAGAGGTGCTATGTGTACATTATGAGATCCATAATGTACACATTATGGATTCCGTAATGTACGCGTGGCAGAAGCGTCAGCCGACCCCCCAATAGGGGTCTGCCACGTGTACATTATGGATCTCATAATGTACACATAGAATAATTCTAATATTATTCACTATTTATCTACAATGGATACATGGTGGTGTATTTAACACAAAATACAGAATGAAATAAAAGTTAAGCATACACCTAATTCATTCTATAAGACGGTTGCAGGATATAGGCTCTCACAATATGGAGCTTTCATTGGAGACTCCGAACTTGGGAAGAAGAGTGGCAAGCTATGGAAGAGATAGTGGCAGATCTAGAATATTGAGTGAGTTAGGGTAGTCATTGATCGTTGACGTTGCAATAGTACAATTGTTTATTAATATTTAATTAAATAATATTTAATTTTTTAATCTATATATAAATGCAATAAAACGTAAAAGTCATATTTAATTAAATAATATAAAAAATTGACCGTTGGCACCATAATAGTACAACTGTTTATTAATATTTAATTAAATAATATTACAAATAATTTAATATATATGTAAATGCACTAAAACGTACAAATTATAGACGTGTGTGTGAAAATATAATTCAATACAACTCAAAATACTAAAAAATTATGCGATACAACATACTCTGTGA